AGAGGCCAAGGGGGGTGCGAGCTCCGTGTTAGTCTAGGGGGCTCGGGCGGGGGGTGGTCCCTGGTGGTTCCGAGTCCCGAGTTACACTCCTGGGTGGCTTTTCCTCTTCCTTTAACTTTATCGGAGGTGGTGTATTCTCTTTCTCTGCGGAACTCATAAAGGGTTTATGAGGACAGGTGTGGTAAGGGAAAATAAAATGAGTGCCTGTTAAAATATCCTTTATGAGGTCGAAAGTGCTCTTTGAAGATTACGTATACTGCTCAGGGGTTGTGTTTAAATCTTTAATCTTTGGAGGAAAAGGATGGCTTGGAGATAAGCCCGAGAGGAAATTTGGGGTGGGGGAAGGGACACGTGGAGGTTAAAGGAACAATGTCAAGATAAATGTGCTGCCGGCCCTGATAAGTGGCAAGGGAGACCAAAGGAATGCTTCCTTACAGTAGGGCATTTGTGACCTTCTGGCTGTTCCCTCTGCTGGCCGGGAGCGAGCCTGGTTGGCTGTCAGGGAGGACGCGGCCAGGGGTCTGACGCCCTCACTCCGGGGGGGTGTGGGCACACGGTGATTTGGGCTGCGGCGGTGGACACAATTGATTTCACACTCGACACATGGTCCTCACTGGCCTGCTTGCTCTGACTTTTCCGAAGACACGATGAAACTGCACCTCGGCCAGTTTCTATGGTTTTTTCTCGGTATTTGCCGTGGCAGAGACCCTGGAAGCTCAAACATCCGCCGCGGGGATGTCGGTTCGATAGGATAGGTATAGAAGTGACCGGCCGGGCTTGGTGACACCCTGCCATCCCAGCGCTTTGGGAGGCCGAGGCGAGTGGATCGCCTGAGCCCACGGGTTCGAGACCAGCTCAGGCAACTTGGCGAGACCTCGTCTCTACAACAAAATAAAAAATAGCTGGGCGTGGTAGTGCGCGTCTGTAGTTCTGGCTACTCGGAGGGCTGAGGCGGAAGGATCACCGGAGCCCAGCAGGTCGGTGCTGGGGTGGCCGTGAGCATGCTTGCCGCTGCACTCCAGCCTGGGCGAAGGAGTGAGACTCCGACTCAAAAAAAAGAAAGAAAAAAAGAAGCGACCTTTGGGGCAGACCTTTTGGAGTGGTTCACGTCCAGTTTGTCAAGAGCAGTTCAATTGTATAGGTGGGACTCGGAGGTTAATTTGTTTCAGTACCTTGTTACTGTTACTCATGCTATCCTCCCAAGGATTATAGAACGGGCACCATGACTTCAGGCCCTGTGCGCACCGTCAGAGGGTCAGGCTTTTTGCTACTTATCGCTGGGTGACCTTGGATGGGCTGCTTAACCTTTCTGAACTCCGACTGCAAAACAAGCCTGTCGATACATCCTCCCTCAGCCTTTCCTGAGTGGTTAGGAAACCTGACGTCAGAAATAGACGATGCCCGTGGAAGTGCTCTGTGAACCGGGAGGCGTGTTCAGCAGACGTGCTGGGGTGCCAACTGCGAAAATGTCACACTCTCCGATTTTGACTCTGACTTTGAGCGTTCCAGCCAAGGTGGAGACGATGGCTTTCCTTTCCTGGCTGTCCCCGCCTGCTTCTCGCCGGGCCTATGTGCACTGCACGCGCTGGCTTGCGTGTAGGACTCCAAGCCTCCCCCATCCATGTCCAGGGCACACGGTCCAGGCTTCCCCGTGCTGGTGTCCTCTCGTCTTGCCCTACGAGCTCCAGATCAGGCCTGTGCATGCACATGTGCCCGTGCGTCCTTGTGGGAGAGCCCGTGGCTCTTCCTTTTGCCCCCGGGGGGTGGCCTCGAGAGCCCTTTTGGATGGACGATAGCCACCTTTTGGCTTCCTTCCCTCTTCCTGCTGTCTGGCCTGGGCCCGAGAGGTCAGTCCCCCGTTGACCTGTCATTTTGTCTCCCAGGCTCAACTGTCCCTTTCTCTCCTGTCATGATTCACTGTGGGAGCGGGGCCAGCCCGTCCTTTCTCTCGGGCCCTAGGACTGCTGACCCTTGACCCTAAACTCCCCCTTTGTCCAGTGCTGGTAGCCTGAGTTCTGCTTTGACATTGTCTCTTGACTGACCGATCTTTTGGGGTCTATCCGCCCCTTGCTCTTCTCTGATCTCTGACTGGGACAGAGGTGCTGGGTGGAGTTACCTGTGTCCAGGCCGGTCCCCGGGTTTTGTCTGAGCCCACCCGTGGCCTTCTAGCCCAGATCTTTGGGCTGGCTGCCAACTTCGGGGCCAGAATCGGGAGCCTGGGATTCAGGGGCTGAGGACAGAGGCCGTCACGCAGACTGCTTTTCGGGACCTTGAGCTGGTTTCAACTTTGGAAGGAAAGGATGGACACCTTCCAGCCAGATGAAAACCGCTGAGCAGTAAACCTCAAACACAGGTGTGTCAGAGCGCAGGCTGTCCTCAGAAGCTTCCTTTGTCTAGAAAGGATGAGCCCATCTCGCCGGGCATTTCTCTTCCTGCTCCGCACTCGGGTTTGGGTGAGTGGCTGAGTCGCGTCCAATCCCTGCTGGGTAGAGCTTCGAGAAGTCTACAGCCGGCCTGTAGAAACACCGAGGGCTGCTTTTCTTGGAGGAAACACCTTCCTGGAAGAGGAAATCCCGCATCCTGGGCCCTGGTGTGGTGACCGGGCGAGCGCCTCCCAGGACCAGGGCTGGCATGGCGTGGCCGAGGCCCGCAGGGGAAGATGCCCAGACTCTCCAGCCTGAACGATGGCGCCCCGCACCCACGCCTCTCTCCCGCCCTCTGATCCCAGAGCTGGTGAAGCACCTGCCGCCTCGCCGGTCTTAGAGGCCCGCAGGGGATCCGGAGAGAGATGGTGGCCGCCCGGCGGGCTGTGTGGCGAGGGGATGGAAAAAGCAGGTTGTGAAAGAGCTGGCAGGCGTCCGCGGCATGTGGAGAGCGTATGTGTGTGTGAAAGGGGAAGAGGGGGCCGCGGGAAGGCTGGCGGCGGGGGGCGGCCTTCCCTCGCGGGGCTCTGGGGAACGATGGCCAGAAAGGCAGAGACACGGCCTCCTTCCCTTCCCCACCCAGCCTGAACTGGCTTGTGGGGGGAGAGACGGCCTCGAGCTGCTGGTGTTTCTCCCCGGGCAGGTCCTGACATTCCCTTTCTCGGAGCCTTTGTCCCCGGGCAAGTGGAAACTGAGCCCTAGTCCCTGGTGGCTGTCCTGCGGTTGGACTCCCCAGGTCTGCAGCTGGGGAAAGACCATGGGAGATGACTCAGGCTCGCACTCTGGCGTCGGGAGGTTCTCGAGCCGTGATGTCATGCTCAACAGGTGATTCCAGTTAGCCTGGAAGAGCCCCTGGCTTTGACTTTGAGCTTGATGTGGAACGGGGAGATTCTGGCCCTCCCTCCCTCCCCAGGCCCGCCGTATCCTTCCCCTCACCCCCCAAAGCCCTGGGAGCCCACCTTCCGAGGCTGCACCCATGAGGAGCTCCCTCCGGGGCCTCCCACCCTGAGGCCCACGCCTGTGGGCGGCGACATCCCATAATCCCGTCCCAGTCCTCCCGCCCTGACCTACAGGTGTGCCCTTCACCATGGGAGACACTGCTGACCCTCGATCTGGAATGGGGGGTTCGCCTTGAGGGTTGCTGGGGAGGGAGGAGTGAACCCGTCGTTCCATCCTGAGCCTCTGAGCCGCCTCTGCGAAGGAGAGGTCACGTGGCTGAGGGGAAGTGGCATGTTGAACTGGGAGTCTCGCCGCTTCCGTCGGCGCCCTGTGGGGACAGGCCCGTGTGGGGACTACCGTAGGGACGGGCCCCTGCGGGGACAGGCTGGCTGCGAGGTGAATGAGTGGCCCCCCCGCCTCCCCCCACCCAGGCCTTGGCAGCTGCCTCGCCTTCCCGACCAGCCGCGGAAGCCCCGCCCCACGGGGACAGGGTGCGCTGGCCCTGTCTGGGGGTGGCGGGTGAGGGCTGCCGCATGACGTCCTCGTTGGTCCCTTGCGCTGGGTAACAGCACCCTGGCCTCCAGCCCCCTAAGCTCCCACCTGACAGCAGGTTGGAGGAAGGGGACATGGCGGGGGGCGCCGGACCTAGAATTGCCCGTTTTTCTGCCTTAGGGCAAGCGTCTCTCTCGTGCCTCCAACTGGGGAGCAGGAGCCTAGCGGCCACTCCTGCGCTTTAAGGCCTGGCTGCCAAGGCCCGCCGGTCAGTGCTCAGCACCCCGGGCAGGGAGGGCCTCGTGCTCTGTGGTTTCCGACTCATCTGACTCAGAACTCTTCCTTCGGGGAAGTCACACCGAGAAGTCCACACACGAAGGTGCCCTTCTCACTGCCCTCGCCTACATGGGGGAGCCCGGTGGGCCACCCCCTGCTCCCCCAGCCCCTCTCCGCCACCTCGCTCCGGTCGCTTGGGGGCGGGGAGTTGGTACGTGGGCAGGGTCGGCTTGCTGGAGCCGAGCGAGGGCCTGGGCTAGGACCCCAGACTTTTGACTTCTGAGCCCGGGCACTTTCTGGCTGGTTCTCCTTCCACTTCTGATAGGAAAGACAAACCTCTGCTCCTTCGGGGTGCGTGACTTCAGAGCTGTGCGGCTTCTGGTAAGTTAGGTAGCGCTCTGGATCCAGGGTCCAAATGTCTCCATCTGAACCCCAGGCCTGACTCTTGTGGTGATCAGACAGATCACCTAACTCTCAAGATGACATCCGTTTACTTGCCCAAGGAGATGTTTGAGACTGGTGAGGCTTGGGTCCCTTTTTCCCAGTGCCTTGCTGTCACCACTGCTGACCTGGACAGGAGTGCAGACCACACCAAAGCTGCACTGGGCGCTTGTCTGGGGAGCAGGGACTTCCCGAAGGCGTGTCCCTCGCTCCACGGCAGACCAGGAGGCCGGAGGGAGTGTCAGAACACCCGATGCCTCTGGTCCGTGGGGCTTGTGCCTGGGCTGTGGGCGAACCCCGTCTGAATGGATGTGGGGGTGCTGGGAGCACCACGGCCAACCTGTCTCTCATCCACTGAGGGCTCACAGGACTCCTTCTATTCCCA